AACCAGATAGCGCAAAGTTTGCATACCTCTTCTTTGGGGGGGGGGGTGGAGAGCCTTTTATAACCACCTCGCGCACTCACTCCTAGACTTCTGTCAGGTCGGGAATGATTACTTCCGTGCTTCTGCCAGTTCGGGCGTCATTGCCTCTACTGGGGCAGAACCGTCACGGCTCTTTTTGTCGGAGCCATCTCTATAACTGGAGATGGTGGTGGCAGGTGGCCGTTGAAGTGCGGCCGTCAAGCGTCAGATCCCAAGTCAGTACGGTGTGGTTTGTCCAGTTCAATGCTCTAGAGGCGAAGTGCTTGGAGCGGTATGCGAGGCGAAATCTTGAGTTCGGATAGGGGGGTGTCCCGAACTGCCATGAAACGGGCCAGTTCGGGTCATTGCTTTGTGTGGCTCGGGGCCAAAGGGAGAGTTCGGGCTCCTCGTAGGGAGTTCGAGCTCTTAGTAGGGAGTTCGAGCTCTTAGTAGGGAGGCCGAGCTCCTTTTAGGGAGTTCGAGCTCTTAGGGAGTTGGTCTCCTCGAGGGGAGTTCGGACTACTGGTCTCTTCCCTTTGGTGTTTGCACCCTGGGTACGCTGCTTTAAGTGCCGAGCTACTTGTTTTTTGACACGTGGCGTGATTGCGAAGTCGGGCCAAATCTTCCTTCATCATAAGCCATCACTCTGAAGCATTTAAATATATACAACAAAATTAGCAAAAAGAAACCTCACTTTAAATATAAGAAAAATAACCCCCTTGTATTTCCGTGAAAAACATTTAATATTTCTTCCCACTACACATGTAATAACCAAACGAAACAAAATTAATGTGGTTGAGCAGGTAATTTAATTACCGAAAAAACTAAGTTTCCTTTTATGCAACATTTTTCTTCAATTCAAAGAAAGTAGAAAGAAAAAAATAGTATGGAAAAGAACAAATTAATTTAATTACCAAACCTTCAAACGAATTCATTCTATCTAAATGAAAATGCAAATCAAGTTAGAACAATCCATTTGACTTCTGAAATTCTCTTAGAAAGAGAGCAGTAAGTAGAAGGTGAAGAACCTGATCTGCTTTGATGTCAGTTGACGAGGCTCCCCTGTTTCGCAATCACCATGGAACTTGAGAGGTGGACAGAGCAGCAAATGCATGAAAAATCCTTTTTGCAGTGCTTGATTAATTGTGCAATCAACAAGTGATTGAAGCATGATCCACCAAATCCATATGTTTGTATATATATTTTCCATCTATGTCTATATTGGGGATGTGGTCTATCTTGGACCAGTCTCTACCTTTATTCTGTAGAAGAGGACCAATCTCCTCCTTCCCAATTATCCATACACTTTATTATCAATCTATAGAGTGAAGGTAGCTTTCCATGATGGGTAAACGGGATAGTTGTACATGATCGACATCTCTTCAGTCTCAAATCGATCAAATTGGACATGTCTACCAAGGAGCTAGGCCTCGGGAATCTTTCACCATTATACCCGTAGATATTGAGTTCAAGTAGCTTTGCACGAGATGGATGAAAACAATGCCTATGTTTTCAGGTAACCCATCTAACCAAGGCAAGCCTTCAAGTAACAATGTCTGCAAATGGTAGAGTCTGCAAACTGATTTTGGTAGCCTTCTAATTTTAGTGTAAGAAAGATCGAGGTATCTTAACAGTTTTAAGTTACCAATGGAGTCTGGCAACGCACAACCGTCTAGATCAAAACCATGCAAGCTCAACACACATAAGCATCTCCATATATCAAATATATAATCAAGCTTTTCTATGTTCCATCGGATATAAGAGTTGCCACTTATATGAGAAGCATCATCTAGCAGAAATGTGTGTGGTGAATCACTCATACTCTTAACTAATTGGTCAAAGGAATTACGTCTATAATCAAGTGATCAGTACTGACCAACATTCTTTATAAAACAACGACAAACGACGAGCCTTGATATTATTTTATTTTTATTCATACACTTATCATCGTGTGCCACTTGTAGTCTGAAACATGTCTCCTTTGAAACAGATTGTGCTAAATCATGAATTAAGTCGTGCATTACAAACAAAGATTCGTTGTTTCCAGAATGTTGGAAAAATTACCTGAAATATAGCTCATCACAATACCCATTCCCTTTACGTTCCATTTCATTGGAATGTTCAATAAATCCTTCCTCCATCCATAATAAGACCAAGTGTTCCCTACTGAACTCATAGTCTTTGGGAAAAATGGAACAATAAGCAAAGCAACGCTTCAGATTTGCTGGGAGATGGTGGTAACTCAATCTCAGTGTTGGCATTATTCCTTCTTTATCTGCTAACTCACTTGCAAGCACGTACTCAATCTCTTCATTATTTCCTTACCAATCACTTCCATATTTGGATTTGCTTTCAAAACATCATCGTCTACGGCTGCCCGCTGCTTTAATAATGACCAACAATGTTTATCTTCTAACCCACCTAGACGATGGGCAAGAAGGGTACCCATGATTGATGAAATTCTTTCACTTCGGGTGGTCACTATAATTCTACTCACTTTTTCTCACATTGGAATGGTTTCCGCAGTTGTTCCCAGTCCTCCAGTCTCTCGTTCCAAACATCATCTAAAACGATTAAAAATTTCTTCCCACGTAATTTGTCCTCAAGTTTGACTTGGAGTGGTTGTAGAACGTCGAGCTGACAAGCTTCTCCAGTGGCAGACTGTGTTATGGATAATGAAAACCAAGAGTCCTCTGGAGATCCGGATCTATATATCCTCCTAGGATAATCCCTACTTAGGATAATCTCTATCCTAATCCTACTGTAACCCATCCATCTTGTGATTATCCTCTTATTTATACAATCTCTCAATTCTTGTAGAATTCCACTCTAATGTAAACATCCCATCTATAAATACCATACGTCTGATGGTATCAAATACACCATCGACAGTATTCTTACTTCCATTATTTTCTTGTTTTTTCAGTTCTATTTTTCTAACTTGGTATCAGAGCCATGGCTCACAACAGTGTGCACTCGGCAGCAAGCTCAAACACAGGAAGCTCCAATCAGTTCCTGAGTTTTGTGTTGGGAACACCAGTGATCAACGTCCCCAACATCTCTCATTCACTTCCCATCAAGTTGAGTCACAACAACTACTTACCTTGGCGGGCGCAGATGATTCCACTCCTTAGAACTCACAAGTTGCTGGGTCTCGTAGGAGGAACCATGCAGGCTCCTCCAACCTACATCGATGGCCTTGATGTACAAAGAGTGGTGAACCCAGAATATGATAACTGTGTGCAACTAGATCAACTTGTGCTCGGGTGGATCATCTGTTCTCTCACTGAGAGTGTGGTGATTGAAGTGATCGGCTTAACCACATCAGCCGAAGTCTAGAAGGCCTTATCTACAACCTACTCGCGATCTCAAGGTCGAGAGCACTCCATCTGAAACGACAGCTACAGAGCATCAAGAAAGGGTCAGAATCAATAACTAAGTATGTCAAAGAGCCAAGGTAATTACCGACAGCTGAGCAGCTTTTTCTGAACCGGTAGGCAAAGAAAACCTTATACTGTGCATTCTTTCTGGACTTTGGGACCGAGTATGAGTCCATAGTCATTGTGATCACCAATAGGGCTGATTTTGATTTTCTTACTATTAATGATGTATTGGGACTTCTCATAAATCATGAGGCATGGTTAGAACAACTCAACCTGCTCGCCACTGATAACCTTCCTTCAGCAAATTTTGCTGCACATGGCAAAAATAAAAGTAATTGGAAGTCCAAAAATACAAACCATGGAGGTGGTTCTTCTCCCGGTAATGGCAGAGGTCGCGGCGGTGGTCGCAACTGTGGTGGTTATCCTAACCAGTATAATAGCGGAAAAAATAATTGTGGTGGTCATGGGAAAGGTAATTTTTCCCAAATCATCTACCAAGTTTGCAACAAACCAAGCCATCGTGCTCTTACCTGCAAGAGGCACTATGACTTGTCGTATCAAGGAGAACAGTAGACTCCCCCAGACACTGTTGCGTATCAAACAAGTGTTGGGAATGAAGTTGTTCCCACGTGGTATCCAGATTCTAGCGCCACTCATCATCTCACTCCAGATGTAGACAATTTGCAAAATTGGTTCGAGTACATGGGTTCGGACCATGTTATAATTGGTAATGGATCAAGTTTGTAAATTTTACATTCCAGATCTTCATCATTGACACATAATAATCATATTGCTCCCAACTCTATTTATCATGTTCCACACATCACCAAGAATCTGCTTTCTGTGAGCAAGTTTACCAAAGATAATGATATTTATCTTGAGTTCCATTGTGATTTCTTTCTTGTGAAGGATTATACGGGGAGAGTTCTCATTAGAGGAACCAATAGAGATAGACTCTATCAATTTTCTGGAGGGACTCAATTCAATAATAAAGCAACTGCCTTCGTTGGAGAACACACTACCTTTTCAGAATGGCATCAACGGCTAGGTCATGCTACATTCAAAGTAGTGAGTCAGGTTATCTCCAAATTTGGTTTACACCTTGTCAGAGCCGTACTAGTAGTACTGTGTGTGAGCCATGTCAAATGGGCAAGAGTCATAGACAGCATATTCCAGTTTCACATTTTACTACAACACATCCTTTAGAAGTCGTTTATTCTGATGTATGGGGATCAACCCCAACTATTTCTAGTAAAGGTTTCAGATATTATGTTATTTTTGTGGATGGTTTTTCGAAATTTACTTGGCTGTACCCACTCAAAAAGAAATCTAAAGTTATGGATGCTTTTCTAAGCTTCAAATGGCATGTGGAATATTTGTTGTCCACAAAAATAAAAATCTTTCAATCTGACTGGGAAGGGGAATTTCACTCTCTCTCATGGTACCTTGACTCTGAATGGATTCATCATCGGCTGGCGTGCCCACACACTCACAAACAGAATGGTACAATTGAAAGTAAGCATCGAAACATTATTGAGTCCGCATTATCTCTATTGGCTTCCACCTTTCTCCCATTTTCCTTCTAGACTGACGCCGCACATATGGCAGTGTACCTGATCAATCGTCTTCCCACTCTAGCACTTCGTAATCGTTCTCCATATGAGGTACTGTTTCAAAGAATCCCGGATTACACATTTCTCAAAATTTTTGGTTGTGCCTGTTATATATATATATTGAACTTCATATAGTTGAACAGGTAATTACCCTTTTTCCTTGAAAGCCTTCTGGGATTAATCCATACGCATATCAAGAAAAAGGTTGTCATGCTTGTGTTTCTCAACATTTTAAACTTGAGACTTCTTGGATGAGAGGGTGGTCAAAAAGGGAAGAATACGATAAAAAGAAAGCAATTGGGGAAGGGGAGGTGTGAGAGGAAGGAGAAGGGTGGGAAGAATGAATGGAATTGCTTGAAAGCTAATAAGGGAGGGGTGGGGTGTTTGAAGGTGAAAATGAAATTAATGTCTTGGAATGTAAGGGAATTGTAAGAAAGAGAAGAGTTCCAGTGAGGTTTATGCTGACATGCATAAGCTAGACATTTGTGACTTTAGTATGAAGAATGAAATTTGGGGTTTTAGTAATGGGGAGTGGGTGGCGGTGGCCAGTGAGCACAGAGGGCCTATAGGGTGGGTTGGTGGTTACAAAGATAAAGCTTGGAACAAGGAAGGTTAGGGGCAGCTATTGGTAAATCTGCATCAGTTTGGGTCCTATAGTGCCAGAATTTGGCTAAGTAAACAAGGACCTAGGGAACAGTTTTGGGGAAAGTCTTAGGGTTACAAATATGTAATTTGGATGATTTGTTCTGAATTGGTGCTTCTCATTTTGCTGTTATGTTTGTAGGTGTTGCCTTAACACTTACCCTGATTGTACTTTTTTTTTTCTTTTAATGAATTTTTTTATATTTACTTATCGAAAAAATAAAAACAAATACCCAACAATCAAAAACAAGCTAACTAGCATCCATATCATATAAACAAAAAAGACAAAACAAAATATCTGACTGGTAATCAGATATTGTAGGAACTATTGGATAGGCACAACCATATAAAATTAAATAGCAAAGAAAACAATGGTTTGCTTCTTTCTCAAGGATTAATTGTGTTCTGGGGTGCCATGTGAAATAGAATCATTTCACTTCAGTCTTGCATGGTACTTGATCCCACATTGTTGTCATATGAAATAGATTTGAGGGAAGTTCATTTTCAGAAATCTTTAAGTTCTTACTTAATGTTTACACAGATGTACCTGGGCTCTATTAGGTGGGACTGCCACATGTCCAGATGGTGCTGAAGGCAAGTTGAGTTCCTCTTCCGCATCATGTTCCTTCTCAGGTTGAAGATAACTGGGTACCCCATCCGACTCTGTCTCCATTCCCATATCAGCTTCCAAGGCATCAAGCTTTGGAAACACCATAACAAAATAAATAAGAAAAAAAAGAAGGTATCAATAGACATTAACAAAATTCCCTTGATTTTCCTGATAGAGAGAAACATTCCAATATCTCCTTTATGCTAGGAATTGAAAAAAATTATCAAGATCATGTGAAATAAAAAATATTAGTTTACCACCCATGAGTTCTTCCTCATCAATGTCATCAAGTACATTGTAGCTTCTACCAAGAGATTCTTGAATTTCAGTACTTGTATCCATCAGGTCCATCATTTCATCTTGCATGCTCTACAAATCACAAGAACCAGATGTCTAGTTTCCGAAATTGGCTGGGTAGAGGATACTAGTTAAGATGGAAATTAAGGCAGGCAAGGAAATACATACTTCTATATCTTGAATCTTCACAGTCTTCATCATTCCTTTCAACTCCTTGTTTGCATATTTCAAAGCTGACATCTAAGTAGCAGCACAAATTAGCATGTCATGAGCTTCTACTGAAAACTTAATACCACACCAAAACATCAAATAATGGGAGAATAAAAGGTGTTGATTTGGGTTCATCCCACTTCTTTTACAAACTGTGCACATTTGCAGTCAGAATCCAAGAGGTTGTCCCATTTATACTGATAACAATTAGTAAATAGAAATAATATTTGATAAATAATAGAGGGTGTCCTCAATATATCAACAACAAATTATAATCAAAACGCATCCCTTAAATATGTGTTCTCTGTATCCTGACATTTGTGAATAGAGTTTGTCATATACATGGAAAACCTATTACCAACCTCAATCTTACCCACACCCAATAGCACATTATAGAAAATTTAAGAGAATCATTTAAAAAAATAGAAGCATTTTAATACATACAGTTTGCTGAGCATCTTTGATCCCCTCAGCAGAAAATGCAACCTGATGAACATTGAAAGTTTGGTTGTAGAGCATATCACGCTGTCCTTCATACCTGATCAGTAACTAGATTAAGTGAACGAATATTGCAGAAAGAAGAAACATAGGTAGGAAACTATTACAATACATCCTATAGGTTTGTTCATTTGATCATAAGTGAAGTCAACATGGTGAAACCAGCATGTTTCCGCCCAGCTCAGCTTTGACTTTAACCATCAATCACTGAAAGGCTCATTCCCAAGCATTAGCATTTCATAATAAGTGGAGATGGCATCTAGCCCATTTAATATGTTTTATAATCAGGAAATGTAACTTGATCAGGTCTCATCTGCAACCACTTCAAATGCTTCGGGTAAATAACTAAATTAAAAGTTTCTAGGGCCCTTCCCCTTTCATCCTGTGGCATAAATGGTTTAACTGCAGTTTGTTGGTATACTCATTTGAAAACCCAAGCCAGCTTCAATATGCATAAACTTCCTTAATAGCATCATTTAGACCTTCAGTGACACCTTCGAGATGCAGATTCTACAATGGTCAAGGTGGTCACCTTTTTCTTAGAGGGCACAAAGATCTAAGGGTCCGTTTGGTTCAAACTTGGAATCAGAACTGGAATCGAAATCCTTCAGAATCGGAATTGGAATGATCTATTCCCATAATCTGTTTGGTTCATACAAGAATCAAAATGGGAATTGAAGACAAATAATCATTGAGAAAGAAGCAAACCACTGTTTTCTTTGTTATTTAATTTTATATGATTGTATCTATCCATGGGATAGTTTAAGATGAATGCAAGCACTAGGAAAAAAAGGTACCAAGAACCCTCTAGGTGAGGCAACAACGAAAACTGTGGAATGGCATGAAGTAAAAACTACCAAGCAACAAAAAAAAAAAAAAGAAAGAAAGAAAGAAAGGCTATCTAAATGCAAACTGTGAACATGAGAGCTACTCAAGCTAGCCGAAATCACATTTTATCAATAGCCCATAATACAATTCTTTTATAACAAGGGTTTATTTTAAAAATAATATGAGATTTAAAAGATTTTCCCAAAACTAAGGTGAATGGTAAATGCTTTCCAATTAAAATGAAAAGAAAGAAACAAAAACGAACATGAAGAAATTGCTAAAAGAAATAGGATTTACCAAAGACATTCAATAATTATAAAAAGCAGAAATAACTTCATCAAATAACCATAAAGAGATTCCTTGGGAATCACATGATTAGAAACATGAATGGGTCATGTTGACTATTTTCCCCCCACTTCCCAAACCGTTGAACTGTATCAAATAAATTAAAACTTGATCACTTGATTGATTTTAACAAAATAAAAGAAAATAGATTAAGATAAAGTACAAATGCAAATATATACTGTGCAAATACATAAAAAATAATGCAAAATATAAGGTTTTGCACTCTAAATATTTGCATTTGTACTCCTTCCAAACTGAGCCTAAATATACTAAATCGTATCAAACAATACACTAAATAGTGATTAGAAAAAGAAAATAAAAATTTACAATATCTAGTGATAACCAAAAGTGAACAGAAATAAGAGGAAGAAAATTGAAGTTAAAGGAAAGAATATTGGGAATCGACAAAATTAAAGCTGAAACATGAAACATGAAACCTGGAAGAGTCATTTGATTGACAGCTGGACGCGTGCCTCCTTCAAAACTCCCATTAGGTGCCGCTAGATGCAGAGTTGGGCTGTTGCAAGACCTGAAACTCTAAGCTTAGCATGGTTGGAGGTGTATCCGATTATGGGGACTATTGAGTAGAGGGTGAGAGTCGTTGGATGTCAGAGATGGAATGGGATTGTAAGATGGACAAGATTGGTTCTAAGGTCCAGCCAGGTGATCTTAGCGATATGGGGGCGGTGATGCTCTGTTTCTCGAAGGAGGAAGGTGACGAGTGATGAGGTCGGCTGGTTCGGGTTACAGCAGGGAGGAAAAAAACAATAAAATGACTAAGTTAAAACCAAAACTTATGCAACTATATATAAAAAAGACTAAGTTAATGGAGACTATAGGTCGAAATAATACCTAACTAGGGGAATGATATTGTTGGAAGCTAAGTGAATCATGTTATCATACTAAACAACTAAATACCAATTGGTGAAAGCTGAGTTGCCCCTTCTTTTGGAACGGCTGCATCTAGAATAAAGGTTTAACGGCTGCATCTAGAATAAAGGTTTAGGCTACCTATGTATCTAATGTGAGATAAAGTCAGCGTAGTTCCAAGAGAAATTGTTTCTAATCATAAGTGGTTGGTAGCCTATTGAAGTTTAAAATTGACTTTGTTTGACACGAAATGTGGTTTAGCATTTAGGTTAGGAAAGAGGGAGGGGATAAAAAGGCTCAAAGACAAAGGATCCAACGTTGCTTTGATGATTTGTGGGTTTGTGAAAATGATAATGGGGTATAAGTGTTTAGGGATCACCTTCTCATTAAAAATTGTAGGGCTATTTTTTTTTTTTTTAAGCAAGGGAGTTTCTTAAAATCATACCAACTACTTCCTTTGACTTTAGGCTTTCATTACCCAAGGGTCTAAGGAGGAATTTTCCTTAAAACAAAATGTGGCTTAGGGCTTGGGTGTAAAAAGAAAAGGATGGATTATAAATGCATTATTATATCACCAAACACAAAATGTTGTGTACGGTTGGATATGGATTGGGCTTGCCCAAGTTCAGTTCTAGTATTTATTACATCATAGATTGAGTTTTAATGAAGAATAATTTGGCCCTCTAATTATGGGTTGCCACATGGTAGACCCAAAATTTTTTATCCGATGTGGTTGGACCTCGTCTGAGTACATTGGCTCATGCCGCCCTCCAGGAATCGGACCTCACTTGATTGCAATTTAAGAAATAGCCTAACCACAATCCAAGTCAGATTGCCTCAAGGGCATGGACCTAAGTACTCCGAGTATTGACCTACCTCTCCGACCTGGTCAACTAATAAGTTGGGGAATTAGCCAACCTCGATGGAAACAACCTACGTTGTGCATTCTTCCTTATCCGCCCGCTTCACTTAGTGCCTCTGAAATGCATCAGCACGGCGACATGCTACCCACTTAGTAGTGATGAGCCCAATTCCTCCTGATGTGTTCTTCTTTTGCAAAACCAGCCTACTGACCTCACTAGCCTTTGTCCGAGCTGTCAAAGCCGACAAGGACTTGGTGCAATTTGTGCATCCACAAGTTTCAACTTTCAAAGTCTATTAAATCATGCAAGTAGGTAGAGAAATGGTAATTGGATGCTATTGTTAACGAAATGAGTAGGAAATGGAGTGAGGATTCTTTTGTACCTATGGTTGTGTTTGGTTGCTGTGCAAATTTATTTGCACTAGTACAAATGCATGGGAGTGCAAATGTAAAAAATACAAATTTTTGTTTAATTTTATATTGGATTTTATGTTATTCTGCTTCATGTCTTAATTTACTTCATTAGTAGTGCAACCAATCAAAAAGCTAAAATTTAAAACAAAAATAGGTCAGAATTTATACTCAATTCATTTGCACTACCATGGTTTTGCATAAATATAAATTTATTTGCATTGCAACCAAACACATCCCATTTAAAAATTATATTACCATTCTCATGCATTTTTTGAAGAGTGAGCTTAGAAAGTACAATTGGAAATTGGGAAGTGCGGCAAACAGGAATATTTATTCTTCTACTCATAGAACAAATAAAAGATCAATCCAAGAAAAGCATACATGACAAACGTTTCCATAATTAACATATCAAACTTGAGCTAGTTTTTCATACAACAAAAACATAGTTGAAATTATTAGATAAAACTTCTGCACACGAAACCTGATGTTACATCTTATTCATCAGCACACTCAATCTGTAAATTACAAACAACAATTCACCAAGTGGATACTTCAGATTTCGAATTCAAATCTTTGACTTATTCCATTGCACCATGTCGTTCTCACACGATTTGCTGTAGATGAAGAAAGACCTGTTTCCTTGGAAAGTAAAAACAATAATCCAGCATATCGATCTTTCTCCTAGCTTCACATTCAACAAGGCACAAAAGTTAATGTGGTATTAAAGATTATTTGGTTACCAAATACCATTGAAAACTAAATTTCCTTTAGGGTGTGTTTGGTTTGATAGAAAATGAAAGAGAGAAGTATAAAGTTGAGGGAATGTTATTAAGAAATTTCACAAAATTGGCTAAGAACTTTTCCTTGGGAATTCTACAGAATTACTTGAACAACTTTCTCTCAACTTCCTGTTTCTATTTACTGATAAACTAATTGGAGCCTTAAAGCACTATTCATTTTACTCAGAATAAAAAAAAGGAAAGAAGAGAAGGCATTTATTTTGGGAAAAAATAATGATATGCATATCCTTTCATTAAAACAATTAGAATAATAAAATATTTCCGGGAAAAATAATTTGGAGATTCAAGAATATATAGTGTAGTATCTAAATGAATTTTTTGACAAGATAACAGACAAAAAATAAATAAATAACAATCTGTTACCTTTAAGTGAATGGAGTAAAGACGATAAATGAAAACAAACGAAGTTATAAGAATTAGGAAGACGAAGAAGCATACTGTTGCTTTAGTGTTTGCCTCAGCGCCGGAAATTGTTGGGACGTTGTTGAAGCACTGTAGTATACTCCTATCGTAAATTGGGACAGCGAAATATATCATTTGTCTCAAGGGTTGAGATCCTTTCAGGATTTATACTTGTTCTCAATTCCTCGCAATCGGATATTCTCAACGTTCTTAGATCAGGAAAATCACAGGGAGGTAGCCCCTTGAGCTTGGGACAGTTGGAAATCTGAAGATTGACAAGCTTGAGGAATAATTGTTCACTTGTTGAGGATACTTCACCATTGTCCATATCTTCTTCTAAGGACCATTCTCCTTCCCAATTATCCAAGCTACTTATTATCAGATGCTTGAGCGAGGGTAGCTTTCCAAGAGGTGGGAGGACCTTACTTCTACAATGGTCCAGCTCTAGTTTCTCGAGATTGGACATCTCTGCCATCCATCTAGGCAGTCTTTCACCATAATACCCCTTGATCTTGAGAATACGTAGGTTTGTAGGAGCTGGTTGAAGACATTCCATTATTGCTTTGGCCACATCTCTATCCCTGGTGGTTTCCCATTCTAATGTCAACGTTTCAAGCTGTTGATTGTTCTTGAAATTGTTGATGTACTGGCTGACATCTGCATTGCTGACCACAACATTGTCTAGTCCTGATATGGTAATAGAATTACATCCCATGATGCACCCCCACAACTTCAAATCGCCGACTCCATAGCGTCTTCTATTTTCTTGTGGAATTCTGCATTTATAGCTCAGTATCTTGACAAGTCGAATGTTAACAAGGCTGCTGCCTATGTTCACCGGTAATTCCAACTCTAAGCCCTCTAGTAACAATATTTCTAACTGGTAGAGGCTAGAAATTGATATTGGTAGCTTTCTAATTCCAGTGTAGGAGAGGTCCAGGTATCTTAAGAGTTTCAAATTACCGATCATATCAGACAAGTCATTATTACCGAAGTATAGATTGCGCAAACACAACACACGTAAGCATCTCCATGCATCAAATAAACGATCAAGGTTTGTTACAAGGCATGGAATCTCTACCCTATAGAAAGAAGGTCCACGTAGTAGAAATGTGCGTGGAGCCCTAACTTGGTACAAGGCGTCCAATCTTTCTGCCGTGTTATGATCTCTGTTAAGAAATAATGACAAATAACGAGCCTTTGTACCAATGTTGTTCCACAATTTATCATTATCGTGTTGTTCCATTCTCAAATAGACATCCTTTAAAATAGATTGTGCTAGATCGTGGATGAGGTCGTGCATCACAAACATTGGTTCACCACTTCTATTTAAACGCTCAGACTTTTGGAAAAATGACCTAAGATATAGCTCATCAAAATAGTCCCTGCTGATGTCCATTTGTCTATTTCCTCGGGGAGGTATAAAACCCTCCCCTATCCATAGCAATATCAACTCCTCTTTCTCAAAGAAATAGTCTTTAGGGAATATGGAACAATAAGAAAAGCATTTTTTCAGATGCGCTGGGAGATGGTGATAGCTCAAGCGTAGAGCAGGCATTATACCGTTTTCATCATTTTCTAGCTCCCATATTTCGCTAGTCAAGACAAATTCCCAGTACCCCTTTTCAACTTTAGAATGTAAAAGGCCTCCTAGTGACTTTACGGCAAGAGGCACGCCTTTACATTTCTCTACAATTTTCCGACCGATTTCTTCCAGATGCGGATATGTTCCCAGAACAACAGTATCATCAACAAATGCACGTTGCTTGAATATTGACCAACAATATTCATTTTCTAAGACTTGTAGGCGGTGAACAGGAAGGGTACCCATGACAAGTGAAACTTTTTCATTTCGTGTTGTAACTAAGACTTTACTTCCCTTTTCTCCAAACATTAACGGTGTTCGTAATTGCTCCCATAGTTCCCTTTTCTCATTCCAGATGTCATCCAGGACAATAAAAAATCTCTTGCCAATCAGATTGTTCTTAAGTTGGATTTGGAGTGTGTCTAGGCCTGTAAAACTACATGGTTGCCCGGTGAGCGATTCAATAATGTCTTTTGTTATTTTAGCACAGTCAAWTTCTTSAGACACGYAGACCCACGCTCTAACGKCGAAATGCTYTTYTACSCTAACATCATTATAGACAGACTGAGCAAGGGTGGTTTTACCTAAGCCACCCATACCAACTATGGGAAGCACTCCAAAATTTGTTTCAATAGGACCATCCGACGTCAACAGGGTGACAATATTGCCCTTGTCGGTCTCTCGACCATAGAAGTCAGACTCCTGGAAATTCGAAGTCGTATCTCTTCTGATTTCCATTCTTGGCCCATTTAGCATACTCCTATCCAACCCCAGCGCATTTGCATTATTTGTAAGCTCATCTAGTTTTTTGTTGATTTCCTCAATTCGTCTTGCTATCCTATGTTTAGCAACAATAACCTTTGGACTACAACAAGGGATGAGGCAGCACACCTGGTTTGCTTGCGATTCCATTGTAAGAACATGTGCAACATATTCCTCCGATATGTCTTCGGTTTCAAAAGCCAGATCGTTGAGTCCATCCAGCCATTCCTTCACTCCTTGCGTTTTTATCTGTTTCTCCTCCGCATCGATGAGTAGACTCTTGATCATTTGAAACTTTTTTTTCAACTTTTGAACATCGTTGTGGATGCCGCGTATGGATGAAATATCCTTGATAATTTCGTCGGCTGTATTTTTCAATAAAATTTCAATGGTAGCTGATACAAGTAATTCAGTCGCCATAAAAGTTCTGTTCAGAACTCTCGATTGAACGAAACAAGTGACTCGCCAAGAAAGCAAAGATATAAATATACCAACTGATAATGTCTCAGATGGAAATTTCTCTTGCCGCTGTCAACAGGTTGGGAAGGTTATGGGTATAGCAAAATAAATAAAAATAAACAAGGAAGCAAACATGCATGGATTCCTGCAACTAAGAAGCTCAAAGAGTGGATTGAGATCGAAGGAGCACAATCCAGCTGCCTTTTATAACATTTCATCTGTTTACTATGGTAGAGGTGCAGTGCGTGGTAGATCCGGACTCGCCCGTGGGCTCCATCTGGGACCCATCCGTATTGACACTGGCGTGTTCAACCGTGATACGTAGTTCAGCGAGGGTGTGTGTGTTTTCTTTTTTTTTTTTTTTTTTGTCTCCGGCTTATTCTTTTATAAAAGAATTTTCGTAAAAGTATCTTCATAAAAGTGCTTTTCGTAAAAATGCTTTCATAAAACTATTTTTACAAAAATGCTTTATTGTATTAACACTTAAAAAAGCTGAAAATTTGGGCTTAAAAAATAACTTGTTATTTTAAAAATAAACACTTATTTGGGGCTTACTTTCCAAACACAAATAAATGCTTTAATAATGTGGTCTCCGCCCAAATAAACACTTATTTCTAAGCACTCCCAAACATGACCTACGTACAGTAGCATCCCATTGTAACAAAATAGTAACAGCCACCAAGTCCTTACTCCTTAGCTTCAATATCATTTCATAGCTATGGGTAATTTTATTTTTCTATTCAGGAACCACAAGAGAACCGACATTGCACAATGCCATTTCCTCTCCATTTCGAGATAAAGCACCAACTACCTTATTTTTTTAATCATTCTTATAATGAAAATGACATAATCTAGTCTAAAAGTTTAGTCATGCCCTTCTATTTCACAGCAGTGATGAATTACTACTCCAATAAACGCTTCAAACTTTCAAAATCTATTTTGATTATAAAATAGCCATTTTGTAAATAATGTCTCCACTAAGAAGAGGAACTCTAGATCCTCCATGTGGATGGCTTGTCAAACTAGAGAGGCAACAGATCTAGATTGATCCTACTGGAGCTTGATGAGGTGATTCTAGAGTATGCCCTTCAGTTTGGATTCCAAGCGTAGAACAACGAAGCAAAATACGAGGCATTGGTAACCGGTAGGGGTGGATGCGAACTGAGCTTTTCACGAGCTATTCAAGCTCGGCTCTGTCCAGACCGAGCTTCGAACCAAATTCGAGCTAGAATACCGAGCTCGTTTAATAATCGAGCCAAGCTCAAATATTATGCAATTCGGTTTGTTAGGCTCGCGAGCCTATTCGAACCTTGTATATATATAATTTTTATATTTATATATAATATTCGTATATAATTATATAATTTATATTTAAATTTATTGGTGTACACACTATTGTGGTCCCTATTGTATTTTATATTTTCTTACTTTATCTAATGCCTAGGGTGGGAGAGAAAGAATAAACCCTCGATTGAATCTTGAAGATTTGAACTGTCGAACACAAACTGTTTTGAGACGAAACTGCCGAACACGAAACCGCAAGTCTGCAATTGTGAGAGACGAGTAGAGAGCAAGTGCGAGTGCCATTGTGCGAGTGTGCAACAAGTGAAGACGGTGGTGGCGTCTTCACTTGTTGCACACTCGCACAGTGGCACTCGCACTTGCTCTCTACTCGTCTCTCACAATTGCAGACTTGCGGTTTCATGTTCGGCAGTTTCGTCTCAAACCAGTTTGAGTTCGACAGTTCAAGTCTTCAAGATTCAATCGAGGGTTTATTCTTTCTCTCCCACCCTAGGCATTAGATAAAGTAAGAAAATATAAAATACAATAGGGACCACAATAGTGTGTACACCAATAAATTTAAATATAGATTATATAATTATATATGAATATTATATATAAATATAAAGATTATATATATACAAGGTCCGAATAGGCTCACGAGCCTAACGAACCGAATTGCATAATATTTGAGCTTGGCTCGATTATTAAACGAGTTCGTTATTCTAGCTCGAATTTGGTTCGAAGCTCGGTCTGGACCGAGCCGAACTCGAATAGCTCATGAAAAGCTCAATTCGCATCCACCCCTACCGGTTACCATGGCCTTGTATTTTGCTTCATTGTTCTACACTTGGAATCCAAACCGAAGGGCATACTCTACAATCACCTCATCAAGCTCCAATAGAATCAATCTAGATCTGCTGCCTCTCAAGTTTGACAAGCCATCCACTTGGAGGATCTAGAGTTCCTCTTCCTAGTGGAGACATTATTTACAAAATGGCAATTTTATAATCAAAATAGATTTTGAAAGTTTGAAGCGTTTATTGGAGTAGTAATTCATCACTGCTGTGAAATAGAAGGGCATGACTAAACTTTTAGACTAGATTATGTCATTTTCATTATAAGAATGATTAAAAAAAYAAGGTAGTTGGTGCTTTATCTCGAAATGGAGAGGAAATGGCATTGTGCAAKGTCGGTTCTCTTGTGGTTCCTGAATAGAAAAATAAAATTACCCATAGCTATGAAATGATATTGAAGCTAAGGAGTAAGGACTTGGTGGCTGCTACTATTTTGTTACAATGGGATGCTACTGTACGTACGTCATGTTTGAGAGTGCTTAAAAATAAGTGTTTATTTGGGCGGAGACCACATCATTAAAGCACTTATTGGTGTTTGGAAAGTCAGCCCCAAATAAGTGTTTATTTTTAAAATAACGAGTTATTTTTTAAGCCCAAATTTTCAGTTTTCTTAAGTGTTAATACAATAAGCACTTGATCAAAATTTTTCTCCCAGAATTGTCCTCGACAAAATTTAGAATACCAATTGTACCCTTTTGCAGAAGCAATTGTATAAAGACACTTTTATAAATGTAATTTTATGAAAAGTATTTTATGAAAGTAAAGCATTTTTGTAAAAATAGTTTTATGAAAGCATTTTTACGAAAATCACTTTTATAAGAATACTTTCACGAAAATTCTTTTATAAAGGAATTAGCCGGAGACAAAAAAAAAAAAAAAAAAAAGAAAACACACACACCCTCGCTGAACTACGTATAACGGTTGAACACGCCAGTGTCAGTACAGATGGGTCCCCGATGTAGCCCACGGGCGAGTCCGGATCTACCACGCACAGCACCTCTACCATAGTAAACAGATGAAATGTTATAAAAGGCAGCTGGGTTGCGCTCCTTCGATCTCAATCCACTCTTTGAGCTTCTTAGTTGCAGGAATCCATGCATGTTTGCTTCCTTGCTTATTTTTATTTATTTTGCTATACCCATAACCTTCCCAACCTGTTGACAGCGGCAAGAGAAATTTCCATCTGAGACATTATCAGTTGGTATATTTATATCTTTGCTTTCTTGGCGAGTCACTTGTTTCGTTCAATCGAGAGTTCTGAACAGAACTTTTATGGCGACTGAATTACTTGTATCAGCTACCATTGAAATTTTATTAAATACAGCCGACGAAATTAGTAAGGATATTTCATCCATACGCGGCATCCACAATGATATTCAAAAGTTGAAAAAAAAATTTCAAATGATCAAGAGTCTACTCATCGATGCGGAGGAGAAACAGATAAAAACGCAAGGAGTGAAGGAATGGCTGGATGGACTCAACGATCTGGCTTTTGAAACCGMAGACATATYGGAGGAATATGTTGCACATGTTCTTACAATGGAATCGCAAGCAAACCAGGTGTGCTGCCTCATCCCTTGTTGTAGTCCAAAGGTTATTGTTGCTAAACATAGGATAGAAAGACGAATTGAGGAAATCCACAAAAAACTAGATGAGCATACAAATTATCCAATTGTGCTGAGGTTGGATAGGAGTATGCTAAATGGGCGAAGAATCGAAATCATAAGAGATAGGGCTTGGGCTTCTAATTTCCAGGAGTCTTACTTCTATGGTCGAGAGACCGACAAGGGCAATATTATCACCACCCTGTTGACGTCAGATGGTCCTATTGAAACAAATTTTGGAGTGCTTCCCATAGTTGGTATGGGTGGCTTAGGTAAAACCACCCTTGCTCAGTCTGTCTATAATGATGTTAGSGTARAARAGCATTTCGMCGTTAGAGCGTGGGTCTRCGTGTCTSAAGAAWTTGACTGTGCTAAAATAACAAAAGACATTATTGAATCGCTCACCGGGCAACCATGTAGTTTTACAGGCCTAGACACACTCCAAATCCAACTTAAGAACAATCTGATTGGCAAGAGATTTTTTATTGTCCTGGATGACATCTGGAATGAGAAAAGGGAACTATGGGAGCAATTACGAACACCGTTAATGTTTGGAGAAAAGGGAAGTAAAGTCTTAGTTACAACACGAAATGAAAAAGTTTCACTTGTCATGGGTACCCTTCCTGTTCACCGCCTACAAGTCTTAGAAAATGAATATTGTTGGTCAATATTCAAGCAACGTGCATTTGTTGATGATACTGTTGTTCTGGGAACATATCCGCATCTGGAAGAAATCGGTCGGAAAATTGTAGAGAAATGTRAAGGCGTGCCTCTTGCCGTAAWGKYAMTAGGARGCMTTTTACRTTMTAAWGTYRAAAWRRSGKACTGGRAATTTGTCTTGACTAGCRWMAYAWGGGAGCWAGAAAATGATGAAAACGGTATAATGCCTGCTCTACGCTTGAGCTATCACCATCTCCCAGCGCATCTGAAAAAATGCTTTTCTTATTGTTCCATATTCCCTAAAGACCATTTCTTTGAGAAAGAGGAGTTGATTTTGCTATGGATAGGGGAGGGTTTTATACTTCCCCGAGAAAATAGACAAATGGAAGACATCAGTAGGGACTATTTTGATGAGCTATGTTATAGGTCACTTTTCAAAATGTCTGGGCGTTTAAATAAAAGTGGTGAACCAATGTTTGTGATGCACGACCTCATCCACGATTTAGCACAATCTATTTTAAAGGATGTCTATTTGAGAATGGAACAACACCATAATGATAGATTGTGGAACAACATTGGTACAAGGGCTCGTTATTTGTCATTATTTCTTAACAGAGATGATTACACGGCAGAAAGATTGGACGCCTTGTTCCAAGTTAGGTCTCCACGCACATTTCTACTACGTGGACCTTCCGACTATAGGGTAGAGATTCCATGCGTTGTAACAAACCTTCACCGTTTATTTGATGCATGGAGATGCTTACGTGTGTTGTGTTTGCGCAATCTATACTTCGGTAATAAAGGCTTGTCTGATATGATCGGTAATTTGAAACTCTTAAGATACCTGGACCTCTCCTACACTGGAATTAGAAATCTACCAATATCAATTTCTAGCCTCTACCAGTTAAAAATATTGTTACTAGAGGGTTTAGAGTTGGAATTACCCGTGAGCATAGGCAGCAGCCTTGTTAATATTCGACTTGTCAAGATACTGAGATATAAATGCAGAATTCCACAAGAAAATAGAAGACGGAATGGAGTCGGCCATTTGAAGTTGTGGGGGTGCATCATGGGATGTAATTCTATTACCATATCAGGACTAGACAATGTTGTGGTCAGCAATGCAGATGTCAGCCCGTACGTCAACAATTTCAAGAACAATCAACAGCTTGAAACGTTGACATTAGAATGGAAAACCACCAGGGATAGAGATGTGGCCAAAGCAATAATGGAATGTCTTCAACCAGCTCCTACAAACCTACGTATTCTCAAGATCAAGGGGTATTATGGTGAAAGACTGCCTAGATGGATGGCAGAGATGTCCAATCTCGAGAGACTAGAACTGGACCATTGTAGATGTAAGGTCCTCCCACCTCTTGGAAAGCTACCCTCGCTCAAGCATCTGATAATAAGTAGCTTGGATAATTGGGAAGGAGAATGGTCCTTAGAAGAAGATATGGACAATGGTGAAGKATCCTCAACAAGTGAACAATTATTCCTCAAGCTTGTCAATCTTCAGATTTCCAACTGTCCCAAGCTCAAGGGGCTACCTCCCTGTGATTTTCCTGATCTAAGAACGTTGAGAATATCCGATTGCGAGGAATTGAGAACAAGTATAAATCCTGAAAGGATCTCAACCCTTGAGACAAATGATATATTTCRCTGTCCCAATTTACGAYAGGAGTATACTACAGTGCTTCAACAACGTCCCAACAATTTCCGGCGCTGAGACAAACACTAAAGCAACAGTATGCTTCTTCGTCTTCCTAATTCTTATAACTTCATTTGTTTTCATTTACATACTACACTATATATATTCTTGAATAGTGCTTTAAGGCTCCAATTAGTTTATCAGCAAATAGAAACAGGAAGTTGAGAGAAAGTTGTTTAAGTAATTCTGTAGAATTCCCAAGGAAAAGTTCTAAGCCAATTTTGTGAAATTTCTTAATAACATTCCCTCAACTTTATGCTTCTCTCTTTCATTTTCTATCAAACCAAACACACCCTAAAGAAAATTTAGTTTTCAATGGTATTTGGTAACCAAATAATCTTTAATACCACATTAACTTTTGTGCCTTGTTGAATGTGAAGCAAGGAGAAAGATCGATATGCTGGATTAATGTTTTTACTTTCCAAGGAAACATGTCTTTCTTCATCTACAGCAAATCATGTGAGAACGACATGGTGCAATGGAATAAGTCATAGATTTGAATTCGACATCTGAAGTATCCCCTTGGTGAATTGTTGTTTGTAATTTACAGATTGAGTGTGCTGATGAATAAGATGTAACATCAGGTTCCGTGTGCAGAAGTTTTAATTAATAATTTCAACTATGTTTTTGTTGTATGAAAATCTAGCTCAAGTTTGATATGTTAATTTTGGAAACATGATGTTTTGGGGTCTTGGGAAATTAAAAAGTTTGTCATGTATGCTTTTCTTGGATTGAACTTTTATTTGTTCTATGAGTAGAAGAATAAATATTTCTGTTTGTCGCACTTCTCAATTTCCAATTGTACTTTCCAAGGTCACTCTTCAAAAAATGCATGAGGATGGTAATATATAAGATTACTTAAGTATTTACATAAGATTACTTTTACTTAAGGATGATCATTTATAACTTAACCCAGCTTGACTACACCTACAAATTTCCAGGATTAAGTAATTATTTTTTAATAAGCTTGGTCTAGTTCAAATTTACACCAAGTCCACACATAATGCGGGCAGTAGAATTAGACCTAATAGCATCTGCATCTATATCCAATTATGAAATCTCTAGATCCGCATTTGCATCATATTATTATGTCAGATTATGGATCAAATTCAGATTTAATCTGTAACCGTCTTATTGTATTTAAAATGATCAAAAGAGAAAGACAAAAGTGCCCAATTATTCTTTTTCCATTAGATGGTTTCAAGGGAAATTTTGATCATTTTAAGTTTGGTATTTTAACACAACACACTAATTAACTCTTCAAGGTAGGTACTAACGGAAAGTGAGACTCGAATTCACATCTCCGCTAAGACTACCCAGCTAATGTATCAATATCGAAGGAGTTTACTGCAGTTTTTTTGTTAGAATAATTTCCGGGTTTTTAGGAAAGTCCTAGTCTTTAGGGATAACTACATGTATTTGAATTGTTCCAAGAAAGTCCTAGTCTTTAGGGATAACTACCTGTATTTGAATTGTTCCAAGTCTCTGTTACCACTTAGCTTTATTCTCGCTAAAGTGGGTTGCTTTCCAATCGTGTATTGAATGGCTATTTAAGCCAAGATTATTGTTAATAAAATTTAGTCATTCAACCCAGTTTGTTGTGTTCTTATTTTTAGCTTTCATATTAGATTAAAGGTCCCAACAATCTGGTATCAGAGCTTCCACTGGGCCTGACAAAATCAAAGCAGCAGTCTTTGAAGTTCTTGCAGTAGCACAGAAGATGACTACTGAAGGGAGTTTTATACAGCCAGCCATTCCTCGCTTTGATGGTCACTATGACCATTGGAGCATGCTGATGGAAAATTTCCTACGATCTAAGGAATATTGGGAGCTGGTGGAGCCTGGCTATGTTGAGCCAACAAGTGGATTATTGCAGATAGATGCACAGCGAAAGAAGAATGATGAGATGAAGCTGAAGGACCTAAAAGTGAAGAACTATCTCTTCCAGGCCATCGATCGCACAGTTCTCAACACAATTCTCAAGAAGGATACTGCCAAAGAAATATGGGATGCCATGAAGAAAAATTTCGAAGGGAATGTAAGGGTCAAGATGTCTCATCTTCAAGCTCTCCGCAGAGAATTTGAAACTCTTGAGATGAGGTCCGGTGAAGGAGTGACAAAGTATTTCTCTAGGGTGGAGTGGTGGAGAAAAATCTACGTTCTTTAACTAAGAAGTTCAACTATGTTGTTTGTTCTATTGAGGAGTCAAAGGACATTGGTGCTCTCACTGTTGATGAGTTACAAAGCTCATTAATAGTACAAGAACAGAAATTCCAGAGGCACAATGGTGAGGAACAGGCCTTGAAAGTGACATATGAAGGAGGAAGAGGTCGTGGTCGTGGTTCCTACAGAGGAAGAGTACGAGGGAGAGGTCGAGCAGGTTTCAACAAGGAAACTGTGGAGTGTTACCGATGCTATAATCTTGGACATTTTCAGTATGAAAGTCCTTTTGGGAACAAAGAAGCAAACTATGCAGAGCTTGATGAGGAAGATGAATTGCTTCTGATGTCTTATGTGGAGCTGTATGATTCCAAAAGAGAAGATGCATGGTTCGTTGATTCAGGGTGTTCTAATCACATGTGCGGTGATCGAGCTATGTTCAGTGAACTTGATGAAAAATTTCGGCATTCGATGAAATTGGGGAACAACACTAAGATGAGTGCGATGGGAAAGGGAAGTGTGAATCTGTTGTTGAATGGAGTCAATCATGTTGTTGATGTATACTATATTCCAGAGTTGAGAAATAATCTCTTGAGTATAGGGCAGTTGCAAGAAGAAGGCTTGGCTATTTTGATCAAGGGAGGGATGTGCAAGATATTTCATCCAAAGAAGGGTTTGATCATTCAAACCAACATGAGTGCCAATAGGATGTTTATCTTGTTGACTCAGTCTCAAGCTCCTTCTCAAACACATCTGATCAAAACTTGTCTCATCTTTGGCATCGGAGGTATGGGCATCTGAGCTACAAGGGTTTGAGAACCTTGCTGAACAAGAACATGGTACGTGGACTTCCTCAACTCTCTGCCTCAAGTGTGACATGCACTGATTGCACCAACGGGAAAAAACATCCTGATCCTATCCCAAAGAGGAGTACTTGGAGAGCAACTCATAAGTTGGAACTTATTCATGCAGATATTTGTGGTCCGATCACTCCTACTCCAACCAGAGGAGGCTTGGAGTGGAGTGAAACCCTCAGTAGATCATTTTCGGGTCTTTGGTTGCATAGCACACGTCCATGTTCCAGAAGCAAGGAGGACTAAACTTGATAGTAGAAGCATTACTTGTGTATTATTGGGAGTTAGTGAGGAGTCAAAAGGTTACAGGCTATTTGATCCTATTGCTAAGAGGGTTGTTGTGAGTACAGATGTAATTTTCCAAGAAGGGAAGCAATGGATTGGGATGTGAGTTATGAAAAACAAATAGTAGTAGACTTAGAATGGGGTGAGAGTGATGGTGAGAATGAAGAAGGGGTGAGTGAAAATGGGAATGGAGATGATTCTGATGGAGAGATAAGAGAGACTAGTGATGAGGGAGTTAGAGAAGAGGAAGATGGTCCTAGTGAGGGTGAAGAGAGAGTGAGGGAATTGAGGCAACCTCAAGAGAGGCAACCTCCTACGTTGATGGGTGATTATGATAGTGGAGAAGGTCTATCTGAGGATGAAGCTCATAGAGCACTAGTGGTATCAACTGATCCATTGTATTTTGAGAAAGCTGTGAAGAAGGCAAATTGGAGATTGGCCATGGATAGTGAAATCAAATCCTTCGTGAAAAACAAAACATGGACACTCACTGAGCTGCCAGCTGGAGCCAAAAAATTGGAGTGAAGTGGGTTTACAAAACTAAATACAATGAGCATGGAAAGATTGATAAGCACAAAGCTCATTTGGTTGCTAAAGGGTACTCTCAAAAGCATGGAATAGACTACACAAAAGTTTTTACACCAGTGGCAAGGATGGATACTGTAAGGATGATTATTGCTCTAGCCGCACAGAAGGATTGGAAGATTTTTCAGCTGGATGTCAAATCAGGTTTTCTCCATGGTGAGCTGAATGAAGATGTTTATGTGGAGCAGCCAAGAGGGTATGAAAAAAAAGGCATTGAGCATTTGGTTTACAAGTTACACAAAGCCTTGTATGGATTAAAACAAGCTCCACGAGCTTGGTTTAGTCGAATGGAAGCACATTTCATTGGTGAAAGGTTTCAGAGGTGCGATAGCGAGCAGACATTATTCACAAAGAGAAGCAAAGAAGGAAAAATTATCATTGTAAGTGTTTATGTTGATGATTACTTTTTACTGGTGATGATGAAGTTATGATGTCTGAATTTAAAAACTCAATGTTA